GACAGGAGACGATTTAACTGTAACAGTTATGAGCCGGCGTGATAAACAAACGCGACAAAACAGCTGTGAATCACTTGTCTATTGTTCAAGGCGCTTTTTGACTGTTGATACATGTTTGTTTGGATTTACTTAAAACTGAATGAAAATCATCATCAGCAATAAATCTCTTGTCAACTGTCCAGTTGACAAAAATTTGACCGGCACCGCCGGTCTTGTCCAGTTAACAAACCGCCCCTGGCCCCTTCACTTTTGAAAGTGAAGGCAAAAAATGTACCGCGTGGTGTGTAGCATACCGCCAAGATGTGTAGGAGTCAGCTGAGGGCTACACACCATTGTTTCATCTATAGATAGACGGTGCTGTTTGTTTTAATTTTTTGTTGTTGTCTACTACGCGCTACCAGCTTTACTATTGCACTAATGTCCGTGTGGAATAACAAGGAAACTGGTCGCTTTTTCGGTAGTTCCCACCCCGCTTAATTGGACCTAGATCCACACCATTGCGCTACACACCATTGTTTCATCTAGACTATTCTAGACCAGTAGATCTAGACAGTGCTGTTTATTTAATTAATTTTTTTTTGTCTACACGCTACCAGTTTTTTTTTTACTATTGCACATGTCTTCTAGTATTACTACAGTGACTACAATGTCCGTTTATATTGTTTCATATAGACAGTGCTGTTTTTTTTTTAAATTTATTTTTGTCTACACGCTACCAGTTTTACACACAGCCACATGTGTGCAGGCTGCCCATCCGACCTCGTCACACGCCAGAGTGCGCATGCCTAGAACGCATGTCAAAAAAGGCCGCTGATTGTTTGCATGCAATCGGCTAAGTTCACGATGCAGGTGCAATCGATCGTTTTCGGGAATAGATAAAGTTCGTTCTGGGAGGAAAATGAGCGAAGCCACGTCTTCTTTTGGGGCTGTTCACCCTGGAAGCGACCTCGTTGAATCCGAGCTCGCTGATCTAAGTGCTCGTTGAATCCGGGTTATTTTTTATTGAAAAAACAACGGAGAATCTATCTCGTCTCGTTGAATGCGAGCTCGTTTTAAATCCGACTTCCATTGTATATGTAGAGTTATTGGTATACTCTTAAAGGTTCTTCACTTGTGTTTATTTCGATTAAAAAGATATCCATTTATCTTGAATACAAGTAGAGATATTTGCGAAAGAAAGAGGTGGGGGTCACCTGTTTTCAGAGGTAAAATTAGTGAGAAAATGGCCGCCAAAGATTGGTTATTTCATTAGCTTAAGAGTCCGTGGTAACTGAAATATTACTTTTTTGTGCCTTTTGGGTTTTTCTGAAAAATTTCCACAGAAATGAGTCCTTTAAAGGGCATGAAAGGTGTTGAGCCAAAAAAAAAAATTAATAATTGACAAACCTGCGAAAAAATGCAAGTTTCTTCACTTTGATTATTTTGACGATAGCCTGATTCCACCACGCTGCTTTACATATATATTTTTAAAACGCAATAAAGCAAGTCACTCACGGGCCATTTCGTCAATTTTGATACGCTGAATCCGAATTTGACATTGTTTTAGTGCTAGGACGTCATTTTCAATAATATTGTTAGCAGCCGCTCCTTCGTTGACCAACGAATAAAATGTTTAGCTCGCCAAATATCGCCGTCTGCAGGCGGGACTGCATTTGGACCTGATGGCTGACGCTAGACTGATGATATTTTTCTATGATCTTACTGCAGTGAGGCTGGAGCCTGGCTGCAGCAAAATCCTGTCCGGACTAGATATATTTAGATCTAACTGTACGTGGAATACCCGTTTAAAAAGCCTCGCGGCATGGCGGAAAAAATAACTCCTGCGTCATTTTTTCGGTAAGACCTATTCTTGGCGTGGTATATAGTGAGCGGTTTTCACAGCAGTGTTTGTGGTTGAATGACGAGGCAGCATGGGTTATATAAAACAGTCCCGTGGAAAATGGAATGCGGCCTTTAATCAGATCCCGTGTTTGGTTAAAAAGTTCACAGAGGGAGGGAGCTATTGTCCACCGTCTGGCATAAAAAACAAACATTCTTCTGTTGGGTGTATCATCCCTCATTGTAGCATGCACACAATGTGTAATACATCATTTTCTTTATTTTGTGGTTTCTCTTTGCTATAATTCAATCAAATTTGCTCCAAACATCACCACTTTATTGTTGAGAGGAAGAAAACGCGTTTAATTCTTAAACTGTGTGCCAGGTGAACACTAACCATCGGGTCACAATGTGCACCAAAATGCATTGATCGCAGAAGTGAATGAGATATATCACCATCTCAGCACGAGGCGAAATTAAATGAATGGTGGCATTTTGAACATTGTTCAACGTAAACTCATGAACTCGGATTATATCAAGTCCGTAATCTGTTGGAAATGCACCTCTGTGTAGTCGCTTATGATTACCCCAGTTCTCATTACTTCAAGTGAAGTGTTTTTTATTGGAGTTGAGTAGTATATTGTATTGTGTTGTTTGTTTGTACTGTGACCACAGTTGTGAAAAACAAAAGTGCAGCCAGCTACATGTAACCTGTTCTAACGTTACACTGAGTTCAGGTCGTATTGAACTAAACTTACTGGTAACCTATAGGCCAAAGATAGATTTCAGGTTATGCATACATATTTTACTTCATTTTTTTCTTCAGTTTCAAAGCAGATCTGCTGTTCTTTTTATAACACACTGTTTTAATACAATGTCCGTCTTGTGCTAAATTGATTTATGGTTTATAAAAACATTGCGTGTTCACACCTATTCATTTGACTTTCTTTTAAGAGCTATTCAATTTCCTGATTTTGTTTGTTTGTTTGTAGTGAATTAATATATAATTTTTTTCCTTACTGGACACTCTTAAGTTTCTGTGTCAAAAACTTTGCCATAAATCTGGAATTCATTTTCTTACATGTACATGTAATTTATGTTTCCACTTTTCAGTTTCCCCTGTTTTATCCACTTTTGCAATTTGCCAATCAAATCTACTTTATTTGATTCACAATTAAACTCCTCTTCAAAAAATGTTGTGTAACGTCTTCTTTGCTTCAGTTCTTCCACTCTTACTCTTACCAAAATCATCTATTTTTATGTTTGACTTACATTATTTTAACTCGTAGATTTACACTACGAGGCACACGATACAGTACGCCCCTCTCTCTCCTTGCTGCGCGATGGCCACATTCGACAGCGCCATGTTCTTTCTGGCAAGCTATGTGAATGAGTTCATGCTAAAGCAATGGGCTAGACATGTTTTCTCTTTCATACGCAATAGGCGAGGCTTGGCCCTTGTTGATTTTTTTTTTACATGGGCGCCGTGGCGTTATAATATCTAGATTACTAGAAAGCAATACAACGTACTTTCTTCAACTAGATCAACAAATAAATGGATTATTAAATAGATAGAGATAGTTAGGCAAAACAAAAATAACAACAAAACAACGTTATTTCTTCTTCAGCACTTTGTCTACGAGATATATATCACCATCATCATTATCATTAATGCACCCCTGGCAGGGCCATTTATCTCCAAGCTCGTTCCAAGTGAGCTTCATCTCTCTCATGTTCCTTTCCACGCATCCGTGGCCGAACCCCTGCCTCGTGCTCCTTGTGGGTTCCACTGCAGTGACTGTCTTGTGATGTTTCCGCTGGGCTTTCTTAAGGTGTGTCCCATCCATCGCCACTTTCTTAGTCCTATTTCCACTTCTTTTGTCCAGTCCTTTCCCACAGCTTTTCGTTTCTTATTCTATCCTGCCACTTAATTCTTAGAATACTCCTCATGTTGATGAAAGTCTGGACTTTCAGTACTGTCTTTGTTGATTGAATGCTGACCTTGCCTTGGCGGTTCTTGCTTTAACATCTGCCTCTGTTCCACCTTTACCATCGATGACACTTCCAAGGTAGGTAAAGGATTCCACTTCTTCCAGGGGAGTGTCTGCCTCTGTCACAACAGGGCTTGAAACTTTTCCTAGCTTCACTACTTTTGACTTGCCTGGATGTATGCGTAGGTGGTCTGATGCGACGTCTGCTCCTCGTAAGACTGGGACATCCTCCAGTGAGCGTGTAAACTTTCGGGAGATGCAATCTGGTTTTCCGTTGTTCCGTCCGGGAATCCTTTTATTTTTATGTGGGAAGATTGTTCCTCCAATGACCAGATTGGTGAATGTACAGAAGTTTTGGAACCTTCTCCGTTG